TCATTTTTTCAAGGATGGGGTCCCAAAAAGAAGCTGATTTAGACTTACCATTTAGGGGGAGACCTAGGTAAGAATTTGGCCAAGTTCCTTTTTTGCAGGCAAAACGGTTGGACAAGAGATCCAATTCTGTTTCCATCAAGTTGATACCCAGCAATTCCGTCTTTTGTAGATTAGAATTCAGTCCTGATGCTTCTTCAAAGATTTGGATGGTACAAAAGAGATTTTTAAGATGGTCACTTATCCGGTGATGAGAAAAGGATAGTGTCGTCTGCAAATTGTAGGTGATGAATCTCTAGCTGAGATTGACCCACCAGGAAACCTTTAGTCAGATTCAATGTCGCTGCATGGGAGAGGAGTCTACTGAAACAATCAACAACAAGGATGAATAGGAAGGGGGAGAGGGGATCACCCTGTCGAAGGCCCCGGGAGGCCTTAATTTTACCTCTAGGGAAGTTTTCTCTACATTATCTAAAAATAAACTCTGGATCTAGGCATGCAATTGTGTATTTTTAACACAAAAGTTTTTATGGTTTATTGGTGGCAAAGATGGAATTCAAGTTGATTTAAGAAAGGTGGAAGCAATCAAGACCTGGCCTCTACTGCAATTTCTTTCTTTTAACAAGAAACGAAACCTTTCATTTAAATAATGAAAAGATACAAAACGTTTCATGGCCTTACTACAAATTTTTTTTGAACAAAAAACGAACTTTTTATTGATTAATGAAAATGAATACAAAATGTTCAAAGATACAAACTCCCGAAGGAGTGAAAAAAGATAGTAAAAATTAGGAAAATACAATCCAGAATACCAAAAATATAAGAACCAATCAACCTCCTATACATATCTATATAGGGAAAAGGAAAGCCCCTAGCGTAAATCATATTAGGAGAATAATGAGTAAAAAGCTTGGATAGAGCATACCATTGAGAAGTTTTCAACTTAGCCAAACTAAAGCACCCCACCGAAGTTCAGATTCTTTGGTTTCTTTCAAACCAAAGCTCCAAGATGATGGCTTTGACCCGTTTGCCCAAAGAAGGCTCGCTTTAGGAGATAAGAATGGACCAACAGCAATTGAGTAACAGTCTTCGAGACCTCCGCATCCATCACCCAAGAAGTATTGAACAAATGGAGCAAGGATAGCCAACAATCTGCTGCATATGGGCAAGAGAAGAAGGTATGCACCTGGGATTCACAAGCAACCATGCACAACACGCAAATGGATGGTTGCATGTGCATATTTGGAGATTTCTTTTGAAGAACTCCTATCGTGTTGACATTTCCATTAATAAGAATCCAAGAAAGGATATTATCCCTTTTTGGGCTTCCCGTCCTCCACAACTTAGAGCATTGTTCGTCTGTCATCAAGGAAGAAGTCTTTCTTGGCTTGCACAAAGAAGCAATCAAAAAAGACCTTGAAGAATGCAAACTCCACACCAACTGATCTTCATTCGCTTGCAAGAAGACTGCATCTTCATTCTACTTGCCTCCATTTCCTTCTATTCATAGTATTTCGGCTTCTCCTCTAAGCTTGGGATAATGGGTCCTAGAAGGGCATTGAAAGACGAGGAGATTATGAAGCTTTCAGAGCTTCTTTCTTGCATTTCTTTGGTTACTATTTGAGAAGATGATGAAGTTCATCATTGGGGATTGGAAAAGGCGGGCCTCTTCTCTGTTTATACATGACAGCCTAGATTAACTCTTGGCTTAATAATACTACTTAACTCACCTGGTATTCATGGAGGAGTTAGAACTACTGAAGATATTCTGCAGCTTCACAAGGATGTTACAAAGCAGATTCAAGAAGCCAATGAGAAGTATAAATTTGTTGTGCATATGAAGGAGAAATTTAAGGAGTTTAATGTCAATAATCCTAGTTATGGTCCAGATAAAGAACGGTAGACTTTCTACCGCCAAAAATTATAAACTATGCTAGAGGAAAGCAGGCCTTTGCAAAATGTTCAGCAAATTTTGACCAAATGCTTACAAAATCAAATTGTCGGTAGGGTTGAATATTTCATGAACTCGGAATGTATCTGATCTTTATGAATATTATTTCCCAAAATAAATTTTGAATGGCATCCTGAGATTCATAAAATGGGATTGAGTTTTTTTTAGAGTAAGGGATTTGATGTACCTAATATCTTGGTATTGTAACTACCAATTCATATTTAAAAGGTTTATAGTTAGACCAAAGTTACCCGTCAAACTGGTAACCATGGATTCCAAACCAGGGAAACGCCTCTTTATAGGCAAGGTCCCTTCATTATAACATTTACATGTAGCACATTTATAAAGATCACAAGTAGTTTCTTTTGGCTTTTGCATTCACGACATAGATGCCTATGGTTGAAATGTAATTTAATTTTTTATGATATTTATAACTTACAAACATTTTTTTGATGGTTCTAGTGCTGATTTTCCTGCAATGTCGTCCAGGTTGGAGATGCAGGTCTTATTCTAGACATGATGGCTGCAATGCTAGAAAAATTGTCAAATATTCCTGTAATGGCCAAAACATTGATTTCTACTGTCTACCGGACAGCTCAAATTGTGGCATCAATACCAAATTTGGTGTATCAAGATAAGGCAAGAGCACATAATCTATGTTTTTTCCACCACCTTTTCTTTACCTCTCTTCCCCCGCCTTTTAAGTCTTAAATTAAAATGAGTTGCAGGCATTTCCTGAGGCATTATTTCATCAATTACTACTGGCAATGGTTTGCTCAGACCACGAGACCAGAGTTGGTGCTCACCGCATATTTTCTGTTGTTCTTGTTCCATCATCTGTCTGCCCACGTCCTCATGCTTCTATTCCCCCCTCAACAGATCCTATTTATATTCAAAGAACACTCTCAAGAACTGTTTCTGTGTTCTCCTCTTCAGCGGCACTTTTTCAGAAAGTGAAAGTTGAGCACTATTCTGTACAAGAGATCTTCTTAAAGGTGGACGAAAAGCCTATAATTCAACAGGTTTCAAAGGTTGAAAGTGATTCCATTTTGAACAGACTGAAATCAAGTTACAGCCGGGTTTACACTGTGAAAAAGGATCCATCAATTCCAGCTTTAGGTTCAGTTATAGGCGATGAAGATCCAAAGATCAACAATAATACCATATTGAATAGACTGAAATCCAATTACAGCCGAACTTATAGTATGAAAAGGTATCCACCTAGTACGGTTGCTGATGAGAAACCTTTGATAAGTTCAGAAAAGGAACCGGTATGTATGTTGTTCTTTATAACTGTTTCAGTAAAGATTTCTCTAGTATTGTTTTTTCATTGTCTGACATTGTCCTTTTGTTGAATTAATCCTCCAGACAATGTTCCTTAGGCTTAGCAGCCGCCAGATTACCAATTTGCTCTCATCAATATGGGCACAATCTATCTCTTCTCTAAATAAACCTGAAAACTATGTAGCAATTGCTCATACTTACTGCCTCGTGTTGCTATTTGCACGGACTAAGGTAACTTCATTATTGCTTGTTCAATCAATATATTGAATTGATATTATAAAAATTTTCGTACCCTGTTCAAAAGAAAAATATTGAATTGGTATATCTTTTCCGCAGGCCTGAGTAATATAGTCCATATTATACTTTGGCATCCGACATTCTTTATGCCCTTCATTTTGTGTTGGTTACCATTAAGACAGCTATTGTAGTGTCAATCAATATTATGGCTATGGTATGTTAGAAATATAAAATCTCATATAAGAAGTAACGTAGTCTGAGAGTCACTTTGGCTTGTAAAGGCATCAAATATAAGATAATGATATTTTCTGATCATGTAAAGTAAATAAATCTTTTGACATTTTTGAAGGACACTATTTATTAGTTTACATCAGTTAGTTATGTTTTAAAAAAGAACATGTCAAAAGTGCTTATTTTATATTGTTCATTCAGAATAACAATGTAGTTTTACTTAGTTATATAATTTTAGAGTCCAAAATTGTTTGCATGAGGTATTGGTCAATGGGTTTAACATGTTAAGCACGAGTTTCAAATGGAGAAATCCTGGATTGCTCAAAATTGAGAAGAAAACTTTGGGTGGGGGAACTTGAGAAATTCTTATTTATTTATTTATTATTAAATTTTAATTAATTTTATGGGAACTAGAGAAATTTCTTTTGAAGTGACATCTAATCTGTTATTGTGGATAAGAACAATTTCATTGGTTTTGTGAACTGTCGGAAATGTTTTTCAAGCTAACCAACACTTTGATAGTTTGAAGGGGCATTCATGAGTAAATTATAGAATATGACAAATTTTCGATGAAGTGAATAAAAAAAATGATGATTTATGATTTGAGGATCTTGTAGTTGCAAATTTAGATTACTAACAAGCTTAACTTTGAGGATATTGGCTTATTCAGAAAAGTTCCTATAATAATGATGTTGATGCATCTGTCTTACAATCAAATAATTATCATAAAATTCAAACTAATAATGAAGATGATATGCCTGATGTATCACCTCATTTACCATGGAATTGGATTCTCATGTAATTTTTATGCTCAACTTCAGTCAATGGAGGCAATTGAATATGCCAAATTAGTGCATACACCTTATTTAGCATCCTTTATGATCAAACCATGTAAAATGTAGGTGCTTAGGATGATATTTAATGCATATTTTCACAGCATCTTAAAAGTTATGATGAAATGCTATCTTATAATTTATTACTTAAGAATTATGATTTTATCAATTTAAAGAGTTGGTAAGGCTTAGAGAGCCAACGTATATTGGTTCACCATCTGCTTTCTGTTTTAGACAATTAAAAGTGCATCTTATATCTATTGGGGTGATAACAGATGTCTCAAACCATGGGTTTGGATATATGGATTTGCAATCTGGTAGCAAAGGGCTTGGACTTGATCTGTTGTAGGTGGCAGGGTTTATGAAACTCACGGGTTATTTATCTAGGGTATTAAACTTCTCACGAGAGTATTGTAGAGTGCTCTTAAATTCAGCTAATATAAAAGGTCAAAGAAGATGGAGGCTTTTATAACTCCTCCTTAGGTTCTTTGATTGCTTGTATTTACTTTTGCTTTCTTTCCTTAATTCTCCTTCACTCCTTGGGGAGTTTGTATCTTTGAACAATTTTTCGTTCTTTTTCATATATCAATGAAAATTTCGTTTTTTGTTTAAAAAAAAAATGTATTATGGAACTTAGTTAACAGTTTTTCTGAGCTCCAACCAAGCCACAAAATACATTTGTAGTTCCTGATATTCTAAATTCATATAAGAACTCAGCTTAGCTTGTGACTATAACGTAGAGAATTGTGATACTTTAGGGTTCTCTTAAATCTGTGAACTGTTACAAAGCCTAATGAGAACATGTTATATTAAGAACTTGGCTTATTCTATAATTCTTGGCCATTATGAATTATTATCCATTTGATACTTAAACTATTTTTCTAATTACCACTATATTAATTTTCTTTTCCTTATGATTGTTGTGGTGATAGCACTCCAGTCACGAGACGTTCATTCGAAGTTTCCAACTAGCATTTTCGTTGCGGAGCATTTCCCTTGCGGGAGGTAGATTACATTCTAAAACTAATTAAAAGTTATATTTCATTTGTACAGATTCTAAAATCTTCCCAAAACATGAGCAAGGATGAGAAACTCATTGTGATGTCAAAAATTTGTGAGCAGGTTTTTATAAATAATCATACTAGTCTCGTTCATTACCTAGAATTATGGTAAGTTATGGGGCGACAAGCTGTAAGATATTTCATCTGAAACATCGAAATCACCAAGGTTTTCAACTCTAGAAACCACAAGGTGCAAGGAAGGTTTGTCTTATGTATAGTTAGTCAAACCAACGCTCTAGACTCAACAGCCTTCCTCTAAGTAGGGAGGTCAGGAAAATAAAATGGAAAGAAGTTATTGTGCTTACCAGAAGAGATTTTCATGATGATTTGGGTAAGATCTTGGAGGCTTTAGAGCAACAACTTCGGACGAAATTCATCATTAATCCCTTTCAACCTAATAAAGCCCTTCACAAATGCCCTTCTAAAGACACTGTGAGGATGCTGAGTATAAATGTTGGGTGGGTTACCTTTGGTGCCTTCACTATGAAGTTGGTAACGTGGGACATAAATAAGCACGATGGATAGCTGTGGTCCCCTTTTATGGTGGTTGGGAATATTCCACTTCATTCATGGAGTGTGGATCTTTTCAGGGACACTGGTAATAGCTTTGGGGGCTTCTTGATCATGCATGTGAGAATGCAGCTTTACTAGAATGTATGTAATGTAGCCATAAAAGTCAGAGGAAACTACTGTAGATTCATTCTAGCAGAGATCAAAATTTATGAAGAGAAGTCAATCTTCACGGCCCAAGTTGCAACTTTTGAAGACTCAAACCTTCTCATCGGAAAAGCAGTGAGGGTGCACAACAGTTTCTTGTCAAAAGCGGTAGAGAGGTCCTATTCTGGCAACCAGGTTCTTATCCAATGGACGTTTGGCGGGTTGAAGACAATTCCCATTATCCAGTGGCCACAACCCATTCATAGGAATTAATTAACTTGTTTGTCACTGCTAGACACTGAGAGGTAAGTGACAACCGACCTGCTTCGATGCAAACAAGTTGACCCCATTGAAATTTTATGTCCTTCAACTTCAAACACGATCAACCAGACGTGCCCCCTAAGATCTTGAAAGATATTACTTATCATAGGATGCCTTTTGAAAAGGCAGAAAAGCAAAAGATCTCTGGGAAGGTCCACTCCTCAAGAAAGGTACTTTTCGCCAAAGAAAAGGAAAATCCCCAAGTTTCAAGGAAGGAGTTATCTTATCTACAAAACATGAAAAACAATAGAAGGAGAAGTCAAATCAAAGAGAAAAAAGGAAAACAATTATGGGTGTCCTCAAAATCCTCAGTATCTAGCTTAGAGAGCGATAGATCGAGGATCCTGAATCCCTAGTTCATACGAAGGGCTGCTAAACAGACTTTCACCTCTGTTTTCAAGAAGGGAAATGATGTCGTCTAAAGTTAAACAGATTGTAGTTGTGGAAGAAACTCCTTATGGAATCAACCTATAGATACTTTTATTTTTAGTTGATGTGGGGGATGGAGAGATAGACGGACAAACTATTCCTCCAGAAGGCTTCCCTTTTACTAGGAACATGGTGGTGGCCCCATGGAAGAACAATCTGTGTACTAGACCTACTACTAGCAAAGGCAAATCGGCTAGAAAAGGGAGTGGTTTTAGTAAAAAAGGGTGTCAAGAAATGAGGAACCTTCTATCTATATGGGAGTAGGATGCCAAATTAAGGGTCGGGCCCTCAAGGTCTTTAATGAAGTTGATTTTTTTGAATGTTTGAGGGCTGGAAGCACTCTTTAAAAGAGTTCTCATTAAAGACCTTCAAAAGCTACATTCATATGTTGTTTGTTTGCCGGAGAGGAGACTAAATGTAGCCTAGTCGATAGAAGACTTATAAAGTTACTTTGGAGTTCCAGACATATTGGGTGGATCTTTCTTGAGTCTGAAGGATCTGTCTTGTTGTATTATAGTCCTTTGGAATGGATGGAGGATCAATTTTTCTTCCTTGGATGGCAGTAGCGTTGGTTCACAGCTGTGTATGAGTCCTCTTACTCTTATGGTAGAACCGAGGCAAGAAATTGCAGATTTTTCAGGCCTTTGCCAAGGAGCTTGGTGTATTGGGGAGATTTTAATGTGGTGAGATAACTCTATGAGAAATCAAGAAAAGGGAAAAGCAGAATTACTCGAAGCATGAAGGAGTTTAACTCTCTTATTGTCTCTTTGGAGTTAGAAGACTTGCCCCTCCACAACGGCTCGTATACTTGGTCAACCCTCAAAGTTCAACCCATCCTAGCAAAGATATGTAGATTTCTAGTTTTGAAGGTGTGGTTGGAATCTTTTAAAGATTTGAGAGTAGAGAGACTCCTTAGTTCCGACCATTTTTCAAATTTTTTTGAAGTTTGGAGGGCTTAATTGGGAGCCTTCCCCTTTCAGGTTTGGAAATGCTTCGCTGGAGTCTCCCCTCTTTCTCCCTTTGGTAGAGCAATGACGGTTGAGGATGACTAGATTATGCTTTTACGAAAAAGCTTAAGGGTTTAAGAGTGTCCCCCCGAGAGGGAATAAGGAGGTTTTTGGCAATATTTTATCCATTAAGGAGCTGTTAGATGCCATCGATAATGTATACAAGAGGGAGGAACAAGGTAATCTTAGATGCACAAAGAAAGGAAGAATTTGAAGGTGGAGCTGATGGCCACGATGATGAAGAAGCAGAAATGTGGGTTCAAAAAAGTAAATTGTGGTGGCTGGATGAAGGAGATAAAAAATCCAGTTTCTTTCACCGAGGGACTTCTACTCGAAAAAACAGATCCTATATTGCTCTGCTAGAAGATAGTAATGGTTGTCCTAATGATAGGGAGATTGAGAAAGAAATCATAGGCTACTTCACTAAACTCTACGGCTGCAGGGAGAACAAGGCTTCAACTAAAGTTGAATTTGGGTTGGGATCTGCTGCCCAGAGAGTGGAAGGATCAGATGGAACCTTCTTTCTCCTTTTATTGAAGGGAAAATTTTGAAGGCATTTTCTGATTTAGTGAGTTTATTGGAACCTTTGGTTGATAAATGAGAGCTAGACTTGAAAAGTGGAAAAATCTTGCACTTTGGAGGGGGGGTAGACCTAAGAAGCATGGACATGCTTTGGACACGTGTTTGACAAAAATAAAATAGCGTGTCTGGCTTTTATTTTTGTTTATTTTTATTATTTTTAAATAATTTTGAACATGTGGGAACACCCGGTGGACACGCCCACTTAAAAGAAACCGTTTTTTTTAGTTCAAAAGAAACGTAAAATCAAATGAAAAACAAAAGTGTTAGCTATCCAACCCAACCCATGAGCTCAAGCTTTTAGGGTTGAGTGGTAGTTTATTAATCCTTAACATGGTACCAGAGCATGAGGTCCTATGTTCGACCCTTGCATTGTTGTTTTCACCCCATTTATAATGGTTTCCACTTGTTGGGCCCTATACAATTATCCAAGCCCACAAGTTAGTGGGAATGTTAGATATCCAATATATGAATTAAATTTACCCAACCCATGAGCTTAAGCTTTTGGGTTGAGGGGTGGTTTATTCATCCTTAACAAAAAGAAAGTCCATTAAGCACTTAAAAACCCACTAATAAAAAAAGTTATTATTAAAGAAAAAAACCCAATTAGTAACGAAGGAGAGTTTCTCCTCTCCTTGCCCGCTGCCATTGTAACTACAACTAACTAGGTTTGGATTTTTTATTTAGAAGTATTACTATGTCAATATATACACATATATTATCTAAAAAAATTGTTAAAAAATTAACGTGTCCCTGATGTATCCGTGCCCTGCATTTTTTGAAATTGAAGCGTCACTGTGTCCGTGTTGTGTTGTGTTCGTACTTCTTGGGGATAGACTTACCTTGGCTCAAGCGATCCTCAATAGCCTTCCAGTGTACTATTTCTTGATTCTAAAAGCTCCAAAAGCTTTAATTAAAGCGATGGAGAAATTGATAGGGATTTCATTTGGGGTGGGGGTGTTCACAAATAGGGAAGTCACCTTGTTAATTGAAAATGGACCTCCCTGCCCCTTCCAGTATGGAATAGGAGTTACTCTTTGGAATAAAGGAATGATGCTCTTCTTCTACAATGGCTTGGGAGATTTGCTCATGAAGAGAAGAGTTTATGGTGCAAAGTAATTGCTGCTATTTATGGCCTCGAGCCCCCTTGATGGAGACCTAAAGCTGCAAAAAGGTCTGCTAGAGGCAGACCGTGGGAGGATATAAACAAAAACAGACTAGGTTTTTTGAAGTTTGTGGTTTTAAAAGTGAAGAATGGGTGTAGGGTGTGAGTTTGGGGAAACGTTTGGGCTGATTCTTCCTATCGTTCCTCCATTTTTCCAAAATTTTTGGCTCTTCCAAGAAAGATTGCACGATTTCTGATTGTTGGGTGGAAATTTCCCATACGGACCTAGGTTGAGAATAAATTTATTTGACAGGGAGGTTACTAGATGGGTGATGTTAACTGAGAAACTTGATTTTAATGCAAATCGGGCTGGGGAAAAATAGAATGTGGTGGAAGGTAGACAACAGTGCATTTATTCAACTAAATCAGCTTTTTACCTTCTGGTTAGTTCTATGGCCAAACTGAAAGCCCCGGTGGTGAACTATATTTGGAATTTCAAGGTGCCCAAGAAAGTCAAATTCTTCCTTTGGTCTTTGTTTTACAGAAGCGTGAACACTATTGAGAGACTCCAAAAAGGATATCTCATTGGGTTTTGTCCCCCTCCTTTTCCTGCTTTTGTAATAGAAGTGAAGAAATGGTAAATCACATCTTTTTGCACTGCACTTTTGTGTATGGGGTGTGGTCTATTATTTGACCTTGGTATGGACTTTATCTTTGCCTACCGTACAAAATTGAGGAGAATTCTGGTGGTTCGTTCATCAAGGGTGAAGCTCAAATTATATGGAATTGTGCAGTTGAGATTTTGCTTTTGACTCTCACAGAGAGAAAGGAATAGGAGACTTTTTGAAGATAAAAAATTGTTAGAGGATTCCTTTTGTATCAGTGTATGACACACTGCTTCTTTGTTGTAATTATACCCTCGATATGATAGTTATGGAAAGCTGAATTTGGAGAGGGTAATCTCCACCCTCTGCCCTTGGGTTGTCCTCTTTTTTAATGATTTTTGAATACAATGTCTTTTATCCAAAAAGAAGAAGAAAAAAAAAATGGAATCTAGAAAATTGACTACTCAAAAATTAGATGCATATTAGATGTGGCATTATTGTTAAAATAATGGACATTTCTTTATCTTTGTAAAAACCAGGTGTTTCTACTTTCATTGATAAAAAAAATTATGTGGTTTATATAATCGACATATGAGTGGAGGAGAGGTAAAATCGATAAAAACTTTTATCAGCAATTCCATTTAGATAAATTAGATAAAGGGATAAAATAAGGGCTCAAAGAAGAGACATCTCCAATCCTAATATATAAATAATACCAATATATTAAAGACTACAAAAAATATATATTTATAAATAAATAAAAATAAAGTACCTCTTTTATTTCATCTAAAAAGTCTTTTACTTTTTATTTCGACGGCCTGCCCTGGTCAGTACCTAGCCGAGTTTTTTTTGTTCCAATGAAAATTATTTATTTGATTTGAAAACACAAAATGTTTTTGTAGTAATTTGGTGAGTTTGACTATCCTGTTACAGATTAGCTATAAAAAGTGTAAAGATGAAGTTTACACTCCAAATGTATTTGGTTGGAAAGACATTTTTCATCGATAGTCGTCATATGAGTCCATCTCTGCAACTAAAAGAGAATTTTACAAAATTGCAGGTCAATTGCAACCATCACATCGTAGATCCCTTTTTACTTTGGCAACATCAATGATCATCTTCACATCAAAAGCCTACAACATCATGCCTCTTGTCCCTCGTGCTAAAGCTGCCCTTACTAGTGAAACAGTAAGTGTAAAAATTTTGTTGCCACTGATTCATATGTAGTACTAATTTGTCTACCTTCCGATTCGATTTTTTTTTTTTTTCCTGGATGTTTTGGGTTCTTGATCTTACTTTGGAAAATTTTTTAGTCCTACGGCAAGAAATATTGATTTATAAAGTGAAGATTTTAACTTTCACGAATAATGTTCTTCAACTTACTGGGAATTTTTACTTTTATCAGGTTGATCCATTTCTAAAGTTGGTAGAAGATTGCAAGTTACAGGTTGCTAGTTTAGGACAAGACAGTTCCAAACGGGTTTATGGATCAAAAGAAGACAATGAAGATGCCGTGAAATCACTTTCAGCAGTCGATACGAGTGAAAACCAATCTAAAGAGTCATTTGCCAAGCTAATTCTGCAGACATTGGATAATATATCAGAAGTAATCATTATTTCAGTATACCACACAATAAATTTTATAGTTTCTATTTCTAGTAAATGTAACTAGCTACTTTTTGTGATCTTTCAAGCAGAACGAGCTCTCATCTATTAGAGAGCAACTACTTCAAGATTTTTTGCCAGACGATGCTTGCCCGTTGGGAACTCAGTTTTCTGTCACACCAGGAGAAATTTATCAATGTGGACCTAAGAATGACGGAACTCCTGACATGGTTTCTTAAACGTCATTCATCTCCATGTCTAATATTTTTAACTATTTTCAAATGGTGAACTTCACTTTACATTTTGGTGTGGTTGGCAGGTTAATCCATTATTTTCAACTGATAATGATAATTTATGTGAGGAGCCTCAAAGTCAAAATGATAAGACCTTGGGAAGTCCAACTCTCATGAGTGCTGATGAACTTTTGGAGTTGGTAAGTAATTAAATGCACATGAACTCAAATAGATCTATAAGGTGTGAGATAACACAACTTTGGTTTTTATAACTTCTCCCCAAATGTAAATGAAAACTAGAGCAGACACAAACTACAAAGGAAAATACTTGGGTCCATGTCTCTACGTTGATTACCATTGAAAAATTGACAGCTCATTATTTTTAACAAAATTTTTTGTTTTTCCATTTTTGTCTCTTAGTTGTCAAACATTTAATGATGGTGAGCACAAGATAGGTTCTCACCGTTCAGGATCTAATTACTATTCAACTATAAATGCAAGATGTTCAAGTTAAAGGAAGGAGGAAATATGAATGTACTTTTACTGATTGGGAAAAGTAAAAATGCTCTGGAGATATAATAATCAACAAACCTCTTAGGATACCATTTGTAGCATATAATGAAAAGATGGAAACATCATTTTTTCATGGATCCCCTTATCCCTCCACGTCATTGGATTGAACACTTTTGCTCAACTAGAAATTAATTGATTTGAGGCTTGAGTGACACCACCATTCTAGGTGTTTTTTTTTTTTTTTAAATAAGAAACGAACTTTTCATTGATGAATGAAAAGGAACAAAAACGGTCAAAGATACAAATTCCGAATGAAATAAAAGAAAATACAACTATTAAAAGTTAAAAGCATCCCGTGAAGAACATGTGATATTAGAGGAGTAATCCTTAGAAAAATGTGATATCGAATACAATTGAGATGCTTTTAAGCTTAGCTAGCTCAAAGCATTTAAGCCAATCCTTCTTTTGTCTTCAAATATTGTTTGGTGGTATTTTATCCTATTTGAATCAAGGGCATGCTGATAAAAGGCTTGATTTTAATTTTCTTAAATTTATTTCATGAAGGCTCTTGAGATTTATTATTGCTGGTTGAAGTTAATACTTAATTTGATATATTTCTAAGTTTCTTCCAAAAATTTTCCAAGTGATTGGTGTCTGCAGAAGTATAAGCATAAGTGGGATTTCTCTACCCTTTTCTTTTTTTGATTGCTTCATCCTGACAGAATAAATCAATGAAAATGCTTGTTATTAGCTACCACCATTGTTCTATCGATGTATCTTTCATATTAACAAGCTGTGACACAGGTTTCCACTATATCAAATCAAGTAGGGAGATCATCAGGCTCCTTCCCGACAAATATGCCCTACAAGGAAATGGCTGGTAACTGCGAGGCCCTTTCAGAAGAAAAGCAGCATAAGATATCCAATTTTATGAGCTCTCAATCAAGTGAAAGGCGACGTTCAGGTAGAACTTCCAACAATGACAACAACAATCAGTTAAAGGAAGAACCTTCAAGGCGTCGCGTTCAATTCAATGTAAATACGGTATGTTCTTTATCATATACTCCACTATTGATCAGACTTAAAACTATGGTGTTGGGAGAACACAATTGGTAGGAAAAAACCCACAACCCCTAGAGTTACTCTGCACTGGGGAGAAAAATAGAAAAAGAATGTTGCTCTAGTAAGTAAGAGAACATAGAATTTGCTTCTTTGTTATTAGAAAATAAGAGTTAACTCACGGTAGGGTGCTCATTAAAAGAAAATACTTTTGTGGAAACCATTTTTTTTAGTACAACATGTGGTGGTGGGGATCGAATTCACAACCTCTTGGTTAGAGATATATGCCAATTACTGAGCTATGCTTGCTTTGACTTGTGTAAACCATTTATTTAAAAGGAAAAAAAGGCTTAACACGAAGGATATAGAGAAAATTGAGACTGAAGCATTCTTAATAGGAACGGAGATCTTACTATGCTCTCACTGAGTATTTTGGTACATACATCTACCTATGTTCATAGACTAACAAGCTATGTCCCCATGCTGTTATAACTATCCCTTTCCTGTGAAATCTGACTATAAAATTCATCGAAATGCAGAGCGGAAACCCATTCGTTGACTCAGATTTTCCCAAGTACCGGAATTCGTCCATGGACATCCTTCCAAGGGTTTGTTCAATTGAGTACCAAACTCATCCCCACCTCTTCGACCTACTACCATGCTCAAACCCATACGATAACTTTCTAAAGGCAGCTGGTTGTTAGAGCCATATGGTAATAATGATGACTGGCTATAAATTTCAAGGTGAGAAAGCGAAAGCTCCCTGGCTCTGCCTTATGTATTGGCCATCTTCTCATATTAATGCAAGTTCTTGCCATCTTTTTTGTACATATTCGTTTAATCCATTCGTGCCATTCTCTTGCTGGAGAGATGCTCATCAAATAGTACTTCTTTTTGGTTGCTTCAGCTGGCATGCTCACAGATTGTTGAAACCAGTTATTGGTGGTGCCCCTGGATTATGTATGGTAGATATAGATTTTTAGACGGGTTTTCTTTCTGCAATTTGGATTCCATGGCCATCTCTGTCCATTTGTAAAAAGTACAGATAATGGGCTTGTAAGTAAGGAGGTTCCATTTGTAAAAGGAACATTTGTGATATATAAATACTATAGGATTATAACTGTAGTTTATTTAGGTGAGGGCTCCTTTCATTCCCCTCTCTTAATTAAGTTCATAAGTTTTAGCTCATCTAGTTCAAGCATGGTATAGGGTCGATATTTGAAATTTAGAAAGTTTCAATTACATTATTTAACTTTAGATTATGCTTCTATTTAGTGTCATGTTAGTGCCATCGATGACAAATTGGTGTGACATGCATATTAGTTAAATTTTAGAGTGGAAATGATGTGATAAATAGTTTGATAGGTTAATAGAATAAATGTATCATGTTGTTTCGTTAATGCTTCTAATGATATGAATTAAGTACACGTACTAGAGACTGAAGTTTTGAGGCGTTCTCTTGGTTTATGTTGTTATTGATTCATGTATAGGTTTGAATTGAAATGTATTGTTTGTACTGAAAAAAAAAGTATTGTTATTTAAAAATGATAATAAACGCATTACTGATTTGTCTCAAAATTTTAATTTGTAAAAGACTCAATCTATTACGAACAATTTCTTTATATTGTTTATCAGGTTTTTAAAAGGTCGTTTAGATTATTGGCCAAATATCAAGAATATATATTTTTAATTTTAATTTTAATTTCAATTTTCTTTTTGTATGGGATTAGGTTCATCATCTCACTAAAATAATTTTGAGATTCACCGATGCTACATCAACATTCACGTATTTTTGTTTTCAAAAAAAAAAAAAAAAACATTCACGTATCTTTTTAAAAGTTAGAAATAAAACTGTCAAAAATCAAATAGAAATTTATTTTTAAATTTAATGATAAAAAATATATTTTTTTCCAATAATTTAAATAAAATGAAGTTGGATACTCGAACAATGGAATTGAACTTAATTTCAACCTAATTTACAAATACTTGACTACACAAACATTTCCAACCAAATTCATGGACACTTGACATGCATAAATATCAGAACAGAACTCATGAACACTCCAAGCAAAAAAATTAAGCATTAATACAAAAAAAAAATCATATTTTTATGGTTAAAACTAAAAGAATAGTCCATTGACCTTTGGAAAAGAGGCCAAGCCATTCAAAAAAGAAAACAACAAAACAAAATTTCCAATCCTTTTTCCCCTTAATCAACTCATCTGACATTTGACCATGGGTCTCACCTTTACCCTACACGTGGCGCTTGATCTGCAACAGATCTTGTACGAAAGTGAGGCCCACGTCAATCCAACGGCCGAGATGAGAAATGAAGAATTTCCCACTGAGAAGTCAAAAAAAAATTATTTTTTTGTCAGAGCAGAAAGCAGCGACGTGACGACATTCAAGAAAGCGTCAATCCGTCAAAGCAAACTCTGACAATCTTACATCTGACGTTTGATTTGCCACGTGGACGGCTCAGATGGAATGTTTTTTTTTTCTTTTTTCCTGTTCCTTTTGTATTCCCCGAAATTGGATCTTGGCTGGCAAATCACATAGCAGTGACAATTATTTATGTGAAATATGAAATATTAAAGTCACAAATTTAATCCTAAAATTTTAAATAGTGTATTTATTTCATCTTAAAAATTAAATTATTAGTTTAAATAGTACATAAACTTTCAAAAAATGTCTAATAAATTTTCTAAATTTTTAGTTTAATTTTAAAAATATTTGAACTTTTAATTTGTCTATTTTTTAACTAATAGTTTAGTCATGTTTTTTTTTTAACAAATTTCTACTACTAACATCTGTATTCTATTAAATCATAATTTGACAAAAGAAAGAAAAAAGGCTAGTTGGATAAAATAAGAGGGATTACCAAATTTTGAACTGTACTTTTTTTTAAAAATAATTTTATTTCACATGCACGTGCCTCTCTGTAGAAAACACACATTTATAATAAATAATAAAATATAATAATACAATTACATAAATAGCAAGCGTTTTTTTTTTTAATTTTTCTTTCAAATTACTTTTTAGTTATTATTCAACTATATTCAACAACATGTTAAATTATGATTCAATAATAAGGTTATTTAACACATTATTGTACTATAAGAAATAAACACATGTGACCTATTATTCTATTCAATTAGTGAAAGCTGAAAATACATAAACTATTCATTAGACACTTTTTTTTCCTCTCTCAATAACACATTGAAAAAAAATAAAAATCAATGTATGTAAAAGGATCATAAAACAAGTGAAATGTATAGGGGAAGATGTAGTTTTGTCCCTCAACTTTGGTTAAATTATTTGTTTTAGTCATTAGTTTTTGAAATTTTGATTTGAATCACTTAAATACCGTTGGATAACTATTTCATTTTTATTTTTATATTTTAAAAAATTATGCCTGTTTTCATATAGTTTTATTGGTAAGTTTTTCACCTATTTTGAAACCTATTTAAATTCTGAGTCAAATTTCAAAAATAAAAATAAGCTTTTGAATTTTTTTTGTTTTATAATTTTGACATAACTTCTTAAATTATTTATAAAAACTATATAACAAAACAAAGAAACATATTGTGAAATTAATGTTTCCAAACTAAAATATTTTAAAAAAAAGAAAACAAAGAAAATGAAAGGGTTATCAAATCAGATCTAAATTTTTACCCAATTTCTATTTTGACCTTTGAACTTTTAAGATCTCAATTTCAATCTTTTAATTTTCACTAAATTTCATATAGCGGCAGCAGGGAAATAAAAACCTTATACTAATTCAATAAAGTGTGGTATGACCTTCTTTATTATATATATACTCACACATTCCAACATAATGCTGTGACAAATCAACTGGTATCTATTAATTTGACATTTCACAAATGTTTATGACACAAACTATATATAATCCAAATTAATACTTCTAGAGAAGTTAGTAAATTAATATTACAGTCGATTTGTAATGAGTATCAATTTAGTTTATCATAATTTAGATAAATCTTACCAATCGTCATTAAACTTTTGTTTAGTACAATAAGAGGGTGACAAATTCAAACCTCTCATAGGAAAGTAATGCATTAAATAGTCGAGTCATATTTGCGTTGATCTACCATTAAGATCTTAACATACAATTATCTCTTGGACGTCATTTAATCAAGAAAGAAAAAKAGATAAGAAAACGACTGTCATTTAAATAATAATGAGTCATATCGAGAGATTTAGTAAAATTATAGGAATACAATTGAAAATTCTAAAATCACATTAGCCAAATTAAAAATTTGAAAACTATTTAGAATTAAATTGAAACAAATCAAGATGATAGGATCCATTTTGAGTAACTTTTATCAAAGTACTAAGAAGGAGATCGGTGAGACACTTGTCGTCTGTTCTATCAGACGGGCTTCTCCACTAATCCATGTGCAAGTGCCATTCACATAGAACTTTTCCCATTTTCGACTTTCAAAGTTCTTATTGGAATATTTGCTACTATCACCAAGATCTGCAAACGTCCAAGGTTTTGCAACGACCGCCACGTCCTGAGTCATATGGCAAGTAAAGCTAATGACCCTACCGCACACCTGCGTCTGCCTATACGTACACCCAACGCCCACGAGCATACCTACTACTCCAACCGCGATGAATCGCCCTAGCGCGCACCACGCCACGCCCCACCTACTGCCCACGCCTGTCCAGCTGCCGCACTTCACTTTTCATCCAAGAAGAAGCCCTAGCCATGGGTCCTTTACTTGTGCCCAAGGGTTGGCCCTCACACTGAAGGAAACTTCTTCCTTATTTGTTTGTGTAGTATTCGAAATTCCAGCAATCACACGACAAATTAAGAAACTAATCAAACCAAGTATTAAGAATAGAAGAATGAAGACACAATGAACTAAACCTTTATCTTTAGGGTTATTTACAAGTACGAGGATTCTGTGAAAAAAAACATAACAGTTTGAAGACTTGCCTTAGGATTTTGTTGTTTTTATTTTGTTCTAGGATACTGTCTTATATTCTCCTTTATTCTTGAAGTAGTTTTTGGGGAGTTTTTTTCCGGATTAGGGAAGAATTGTCTTATAATTATTTTAATTCCTTTAGTTTTAGGATTTTATTTTATTTATTTTTTTCACGGATGATCTTAATCTATAAATAGGCCCCCTCGTAGTATTTTGAAGATAGAACTATTATTGTTGAACGAATTTCGAGTCTTCATTGAAAGAATTTCAAGAGTTTTGAGACTTTTGCCGAGTGCAACCCTCTCTTGTTTTGTGTATTCCTTCTGCGTAGTTTAGCCTTGAGTATAGAAAAATCAAGTTTTTTGTTTCTTATTTTCAATTTCAATTTGTTTCAAAACATAAATGTGTGAATCGAAAAAGGATGTAGAGATTGCTATAGTAAAGATCATGCAATTCTATTTTTTCTTATTAAAAACACGAAATAAGAAACAAAAAAAATAAGAATACTAAAATTGGTCTCGAAATAAATAAATGAGACAAAAATGAAAAAGGAAGAAACTAAAACTAACTTTTCGAGAGTAAGATCAAAATGAACCAAACGAATCAAGGGGGTAAATATAAGAAAGAGAAATGAACCAAAATATTTAACCCGTTTACCTAAAATCTTTTTAAATATAATGTATAAATAAACAGAATTATTAAAGTTGTGGCCGAGGACCAAATTTTAGTATAAAAAAAAATCCAATATTTCAGCCACCGGTTGTTCTTTGATGTTGATTTATTAGAGAGTGCAGTTCTCTCTCTCTCTCTCTCTCTCCCGATTTTTCTATTCGCGAGGCGAAGCAGAGAAGAAGTTGAAGAACAGTCCCATTTTCACACACTAAAATATTTGCAAATTTTGAAGAACTTTGCGTATCAAACTCTCTCTCTCTCTCTCGCCTTCTTATACTGCGTTGACTACTTGGACTGAGCTTTAAACCCGATGAATTCTCCTTTTTCCCGTTTTCCCATTTTGTCCCTTCTCAAATCCACCGGTGCCGTCGCCGGTCAATCTTCCCCACCCACCGCCGCCTTGGGTTTCTCCACCCTTTTCCGGTGACTACTTCTATGATTGTATTCTCCTCCTGTTCTGGGTATCGCGTTTGTGCCTCTTGGGTTTTGAAGCTAGGGTTCCCCAAAAGCCCTAGCTATCGACACATTTCTGTGAAAATTCGATATGGGTAATCGGCGGAGGTTTAGAAGTTTTGTTGCGTAATCTCGTGTTTTGTGGGATTTATTTTTCCTGTTTGTTGTTGTTTGATTTCGTAGTTCGTTTATTTCGTAATGAAGAGGTTGAAGTCGTGCGACGATCTCGATTCGTACGCGGAGAAAAATCCCGGGAAGGACCCTGTATTGAGCCGGACATCGTCTTCTCACCGAGTCTTCTACCACAAATCCGAGCCTATACGGAAGAACCTGTCGTCTTCGTCTGCTCGGTATTATAGGGATCGATCGGTGGATGAGGATCGGGAGGGTTTGAGGCTAGTGCGGAAGCGACCAGATCATGATTTTGAGGGCTTTGATCGGCGAAAAGGGTTTGATCGGTTTCGAGAGAGCGGAGAGAGTAGGGGTTATTCTGGTAGTAGTGGAGGTGGCGGTGGAGGAGATCGTATTGCACTTCATAGGTCGGAGAGCTACTCTGGGTCGCGAAGGGAGTACCCTAAAGGATTTCGATCAGAGCGGGACAGGTCAAGGAGAGAAGGCAGTGTATCTTCGTGGAGGAGATTTGGGAGTTGGAATAAAGATGTCGATGAGGGAGTAAGAAGCAGAGGTGGTGGTGTTGGGGGATTGGAAGAGAGAGGGAGTGCGAGGAATTCTCCCAAGGGATTGAGGGATGTGAAATCGCCGTCTCAGTCTAAAGATTCAAGTAGTGAGCAGTCTAAGTTGAGAGCCTCACCTAGTCTGGTTTCAAAGGGTGTGAGACCACAGGAATCAAAGTCGAAGTCACCAACATGGTCGAAGGACTCAGAGAGTGAGCAATCGAAGAGTGTGGAGGTGAAGAAGGGGGACGACTTGCAGGTTGAAAGTGGGGATAACAGTGAAATGGAGGAAGGAGAATTAGAACCTGATCCTGAGTCCGAACCTGCACTTGCTCCTCAAGCTGAACCTAAACTTGAACCCGAACCCGAACCCAAATCTGAAACAGGATGTGAAGCTGAATCATCTCCTGAGAATGAAGATAAAATGGCAGCAGAGAAGCATTTGGAGTCTGATAATGATCAGAGGGAGGTCGAAACTGAGAATAAAGTTCAAGATCAGAAAGATAGTGTTGTAGCAGAGGCTGAAATGCTGGATAAGGGCATGGATGCGACTGAAGCGAAAGAAGCTTGCTGTGATGATGTTGATTTATCAGAAGGTCAGAATGGATCGGTTGATTTGAGGAGTTGTACCAAGGATGAACTAGATGTTGTCGCTGATGTAGTAGACAGGTTGGAAGACAGTTTAGTTGGTGACAGAGAACAATGTAATGGGGTGGATGACAAGAACTCTGTGGAGATTTCAGTTCAGTTGGATGAGAAATGCAAAGAAAACAAGGGCAATGATCTAGAAATGAAGACTGGGGATCTTGATGTACCAGATAAAGAGGTAGTAAAAGAAGCGTCAGACGGAGGGGCAACAAAAATTACTGAGGCACTGACTCAAAATTTTAGAGATAAAGGTAAAAGTGTGGCTGTTAGTCCTTCGACCTCCCATGCCGCATATTCTGCAGAAGATGGAGCATGGACTGATAGAGAACTGGAAGCTACTGACATTTGTAGGGACCATGATATGGAAGGGCCAAGTACCAGGGGGTTTGAGTTGTTCACAAGATCTCCAGTGAGGAAACTCGAGAAAGTGGATGAATCTGGTGATAGTAGGCAAAGAGACGGAAAGCTTACACTAGAGCCTCTCGATCTTTCTCTAAGCTTACCAAATGTTCTGTTACCTATCGGTGCCACTGGCGATTCAGTTCCAGCATCTGGTTCCCCTAGTCGAGGAAGAAGTGTCCAGTCCCTGAGTAACACATTTTGCACTAATTCAGATGGATTTGCTCCATCAATGTCTTTCTCAGGGTCTCACTCTTTCTTTCATAACCCAAGCTGTTCTTTGAATCAGAATTCAATGGACAACTTTGAACAATCTGTTGGAAGTCGCCCAATATTCCAGGGAATTGACCAGGCTTCTCAAGGAGCTTGGCTGGGTCAGTCACAGAACGAGTCCAAGTCCAAGGAACTTCCCTTATATCAAAGAATTTTGATGAATGGCAATGGCTGCCTTCAACAATCTCAATCATCACATGGTATTTCAAACATTCAAACCGTTCTGGGTCGTCATTCATGTGAGG